GCATGCTGCCGCCTAACGTAACGTGACGTCATGCTGAAGCTACCATCTCACATTACATTTTGTTTGAACAGAACAAAGTGAACACAAAAAATACAAACATTTACGTACACAATATATTGTACATACATGCAACAACACAGTACAGCAACAGATCACTAACAATGAAGCACGAATGACACATCCGCTAAATAGAAGTTGGCACCATGAACCAGATAGTGAGTCAGTTGGTCAGTTAGTGAGTCAATCAGTGAGTGAGTCAGTCTGTAAGTCAGTCAGTGAGTAAGTCAGTTAATGATTCAGGCAGGCAGTGTGTATGCGTGTGAGTGAGTCAGAACATGTGTAAGTCAGTGAGTGAGTAGGTCTTAGTAAGTAAGTCAGTGACTCAGTCAAGTCAGTCAGTGAGTGAGTGTGTCAGTCAGTGAGTGAGTCAGTCAGTCAGTGAGTGAGTGAGTTAGTCAGTATGTATGTAATGTATGTAAGACCCATAACCGTGAACGGTCGTAGGGGCATCATGACAGCCAGCAGCATGTCTGGACTTGCCACGATGTTTCATTAGGCTTATAATCTTGGCGGCGCCTATCTCCTCTCCAAGATTTTGGCTGGTACAGACGGGGTTTGCCAGGCCTCCGTCCGGGTGAATGATGTATTACTAACGAGTTAGTCAGTGAGCTAAACCAAATGCAAGAAACATAATGACAAGGCGGACATACCCACCGGCAGAGAAACAGTGTTACACACACCCAACATTAAGTACCAACTTCCCCTACAGTTATAAATGGTGCAAAGTCTCGCCATGCAGCCAACCTGTGAAAGAAACATAATATGAATGAATGAATGACTTGGGTATGAATGTGCCAGTGATCCAATGCAGCAAATATACATGCATGGTTAATCAATAAAAATCCAAGCAGATACGTGACGGCTACCATAATATACACCGATATAAACACACATCCTCACGAAAAACAACAGACGCACATTCTGGAAAACTTTATCCGTTACGGACATTATAAAATGCCCCCGCCATTGGGGCGTTGCCAAAAACAGGTTGGCAGCTTCAGCATGGTTCTGTATAAAGCATAATCTCCAAGCAGATGCAGGGTGGCAAAAGACAGCCGGGTGGCCTACGGACCCTCTCTGGCGAATGGATAATCTCCAAGCAGATACGGTGGGGCAAGGGGATTTCATGTTAGCCGCCTGTGTCCATTGGCCGACATTATCCAACGTTCGAACGTTGGATACAGGCGGCCAATGGATTATGCGGCTAATATAAAGTCCTCTTGCCCCACCGTATCTGCTTGGAGATTAGCGAATGAATACTGCCTGGCCAATTTGATACTGTCTTTTGCCACCCTAGTATCTGCTTGGAGATTAGTTAAAGCAACCCGACGTAGTGTGCTGCTTGTTTAAAAAGAAAAAGCTGAAGTAACCCGACGCCAACATTAGGTCCGAGGACGCTCAGTGTCAAAACGGAATCAGTGGACATCACGGGGGAAGGCAGCGAGGCGATGGACAAGGTGCAGCGCCGGCAGCTGCGGACAGGGGGCGCTAGTCATCCCATCCACACGCTCTTCAAACGGTACCGGTCAAAGGTCGAGAAGTGGGACACCGGCTGTATCGTCTTCAACATCGCAGTTCCAAATAAGGTAATGTTAAACGTTGTGCTGACAGTTCGTTTGTTTGTTTGTTTGTTTGTTTGTTTGTTTGTTTGTTTGTTCGGGATCTCTAGCTCTATTAGTGTGAATTTCACACTACTCTTCCTGGAGTCCGTAGTGAATAATCAGATAAGTAAGTGACACAGGAAAAGTCCATTGCTTGCTGTTTATTAACAATTAAGGTTACTAGATAAAGGTAGTCCCATAGCCTCTTTAAGGCCGTAGGGGCAGTGGGCTGTTGATCCACTGTGTCTAGTGCACGGTATTGGAAGGCGGAGCCAATCCCTCTCCTTACAACGCGTGCCGTTTGTTTGTTTGTTTGTTTGTTTGTTTGTTTGTTTGTTTCAAGGATATCTAGCTCTGTGATACTAGTAACTTCTAATATCTATGACTCTGAGTATGTGACTCACAAAAGCTGACTTTCAGATTCTCCCATCACTACCAAAATTCTTACCAACCATACGCGTTGGATGTTTTTCGATGTTTTTAAGGCAAATCCTTCTATTGGGGGGTCTTCACACATAAAGTAGGTGACGATACAGTCTAATCAAACCCAGTTGTTTCTTCTCTGAAAGACTTTATTCCACAAGAGTGCAAAACTTAGTAACAGTATAACGCGTGTGTCTGAATAAAACTGAAACTGAAACTGTGACAAGAGGAATCTGTGCTTTTAACATTACTGAGGAATATGGTACAGTCATATTCACCCTCAGTGTTCAACAAGGGATGAACAGGATAAACAATATATTCATAATCAAAGCCAGTTATTGGTCCTTTTACGTCACATCAGAGATGGAAATGAGGAAGTGCAAATTTTTCGGCTGGGTTTTCAGCTATACCCCACGTGGAGAGCGTATGCACGAGAACGCAGATCGCGCGATAGAAGAGTATCTAGCCTTGGATGTTATTGAATGCGCCCAAAGGATGCAAGAGAGAAGATTTGCCACAGGCACGGTTCTGGATACGCGCGGACTGTCCAGAACTGTGTCAGAACATGTTTCTGGATAAACCAGACAGACTTTTGTGTGATTCCAAGCGAAGGAGGAAGCGAAGCGGCAGTACCGCGACAGTGTCCGTGTGTATCTATTAGTTCCATGTATGAATAGGATCAGGCACGGTTCTGGATATAGTCTCCACGTATCCAAGAACGTAGTTTTGCCCCAGGCACGGTTCTTGATTGTCTACGCGTATCCAAGAACGTAGGTTTGCCCCAGACAAGGTTTTAGATACAACAGAGACAGAGATTGTCTGACTTGCTCACCACAGGAGGAAGCGAAGCGGCTGTACAAGGATAGTCAGTCCGGAGAGCTGCAGAAGATGCTGGAAAAGGTCCTCATAACTGACGAGGTGCGGCGGGCCGCTAAGGGCAGGAAGGTGAGTTTTCCTTTTGTTTATTCCTTTGTTTATTTTCACATAGAAAACAGCCCATGTAGTAACGTAGATGAACACGCTAGAGGAGGCCCAAAACCCTAGAGTATGCAGGCATATATTTCTTACGTTTGGCGTATGAATTACCTAGTCAGGAAGGTTGTTTATTTGTCTAGTTATTTTCACATAAAAGACATATCATGTAGTAACATCAGCAAAAAAGAACATACAGAGAGAGACAGATTTTCGTAGGCATCCCTTTCTCTATAAATTATGGTACTTGGTGTTCTTAAAATGTCTGCCATTTAGAGAAGTGATATATTTGCATGTCTATGACCGGCTGTTGGGCTCAAATGTACTTTACGTTTCTTGGAGTGACTAACGTTTTAAAGAACTCAAAAACAGTGAATCTAAACTCCATTTAAAAGTGCACAAAAACCGCTTTCCAATGATATGAAACAGCGAGATCGATAAAGAATCAACGGAGATATGGTAAACCAAAGTTACCATGTTTTACGCACGTTAGAAGTTTGTTTACGTCTGCCACGTGCGCGCCCACGTGTTGCCCACGTGCTAACTGATCACGTGTACGGCGCGTGATCCTGCAGGTGACGCTGAAAGTCTCCATCTCCGAAGAGGAGTACCTGGAACTGTGCAGGAAGTTCGACGAAGACCAGCAAATTCTCAAGACAAGGAAGAAAAGAGGTGGGCCTTCTTACTTCTCACGTCTTAAGTCATGCCTTGTTGTGGCCGGCGTCTTAGTTTTGTGGAAGTTTTGCCTCAGAAAGAAGAGTTGTCTTATGTCTTGTGTGTGTTGCCGCCAGTTGTCGTCTGCTATGTTTTGATATGCTAATTTGGATTGCGTCATAGGTACGGCATGTTGAGATGACTTCTCCACGTGTTATGTTCACTTTATTGTAGCGTTAGTTTTTACCAATATTTGCTACCATGGTTTCACTACAATAAAGTGAATAAATACCGAAAGTTTTGTCTCAGAAAGAAGAGTTTTTCTCTAATGTTTTGAGCGTGCTGTCGTCTGCTGTGTTTTGATATGCTAATTAGGATTGCGTCATAGGTACGGTATGTTGTGATGACTCTCCAAGCAGATGTTTGGGTTTTGGCTTCTTTCTGTCGCGTTTTTAGGCTTTTTTATCGGGCTTTCTTTTTTCAACTGTTTTTTTTACGCCAAGGTTTGGTGTAAAAAAACTGATGTAACGTTACATGACAATATAAACGTGCTAGTTATTCGGTATGTGAAAGAGTCATCACAACATACAATACCAAATTAGCATATCATAATATAGAAGGCGACAACAGCACAAGACATGACATAGTGCTTTCTTCTAGCGTCATTTTACAGCAATATTTGCTATAAACAATACAGAGTTAGAGACTGGTAACAGGTTTTAGTGGGAAAGAATAGTTAGAAACTATGTCAGAAAATACTGTAAGCTGAACTATGTTAATGCTGTATGTATGTATGTACTTGCTATCATTCTTGCGCCAAAATCATCTTGGCTTTATTTTATAACATAGCAGGCGACAACACACAAGACATGACATAGTGATTTTATCTATTCTAGCGTCATTTTACAGCAATACCTGCCAACAATATAGAGTTAGAGACTGGTTTTAGTGGGAAAGAACTGTTAGAATCTACGCATGACAGAATATACTGGAAGCTGGACTATGTTAATGCTTCGTATGTATGTATGTATGTACTTGCTATCATTCTTGCGCCAAAAACATCGTCGGAAAAAGAATTGTCGTTAGAAGTGCCATTGCCATTTTCGTTGGCCCTCTAGATGCAGCATAGCGATGTATTCTATTCTTGAAGAAGACATTTTGGCCCAGAAACGTGGCTTAGCTTCTTTAAGGCATCTAGAAAACATTCTTCAACATCTACGATGTCTCAAGGGTTGGAACAGCCCGACAAGGTTATGCAACAGGGCAAGAAACAGCTCCTGGCAAAGGATTTAAAGATCAGGCTCTGTTGAACTGAATCAGACGCAAAGTAGAAAGTTGGAAGCAAACTTCAGAAAGAACGTTTAGAAAGCTGAAAGTTACTGACCTCCAAAGTTATGCACGAAGACTGAAAATAGCTACCGGCAATAGTACAGGATTTAAAGATATGTGACTCCCACTTAATTGAATTACACACGAGAACTTTAGGCTCAGTTTCCAGACTTCGCGTTTCCTATCTGAAATGGGTTAACAGTTTGTCCTTGACTAAGCCTGGAGAGCGAGGTTATGGTAACTTTGTGTGTGTCAGCATATTTTCCCCAGTATGCACATTTGTGATGACCCTGTGGCTGTGCGCTTTCTGAAATCAGGAACATTTTTCTCGCAGTAAGCACGAGATTACGGCTGGGCCAAACAAAAACCATTTCACGTTTCCCATCACAAACCAGCATTGACTGTAAATAACATGAAAACAAATACGTACAATATTTGACATCTTTTCAAGCTACCTGCATTTCATTAGTAGTAGGGGACTTAGTATTTCTATTGATAAAAACTCATGTATTTATTATTACCACCACAAACTGGCATTGGCGGTAAACAACATCAAAACAAATACGTACATATTGACATCTTTTCAATCCACCTGGATTTCATAAGTAGTAGGGCAATTCCTCTGCATTTCTCCTCTGGTTTCTCAGTCACTGACGAAAGGTAGTGGATACTACCTGAAACGTCTGACCATTTCCAAAATCATATCCAGTTGCTTGAGTAACTGTTTTTGATGTATCTTATTACCTGGATGTCTAACCTTCACCGACATATCCAGTTGCTTGAGTAACTGCTTTTTGGCGTATCTTATTACCTGGATGTCTAACCTTCACCGACATAGTAGGACAATTATTTCAAATGCTAAAATCTCGATGTCGCTCATGACCTTCTGTGGCAACCTTTGACATAGAACACAATCACGTGGTTGTTGATCCTGAGCCAATCTTTTCGCTGAGTTACGACTTGTAATGATCACTAACACGCCGGAACTAAACATGCCTCATGGCTCACAACGTTCCTGGGATGTTTTCTGTAGTGACCTCTTCTTCCAACCACGCGACCTTCACCCATTAGAACGCGACCTTCAAATCCTTAAAGGATTTCTTGTAAAACGCTGAAGGCGAAGATTTCGTGTAAAACGCAGAAGGCAAACGTTAAAACAAACATCTGTGTGATATCCTAAGTAAATTGTTGCACACTGCCGACCCTACTAAATTTACCGCAATGCTTTTCCAGGATCCCTCCATGCAGACCCTCATTCAAATGTAAGAACATAGCCTTCAAGGATTTCTTGTAAAAGGCACAGACATCTGGGTGATATCCGAAATTATAACTGTTAAGCATGACCCTGCTAAATTTACCATAAAGAGTTTTCAGGATCCCCCCATTCAGACCCTCAACCAAATGTAAAAACATGACCCCCAGACGCTCGAAAGATTTCTTGTAAAACGCACAGAAGGCAAACCGGAAATCCGCTGAAAAATGTTTACAGGAAATTTTGGGGGTCACAGAATAAAAACTACTACCTGCCATTTAAAACATGACGTTGCTGACGTCACAAGTCTCCTTCCCGCCAAATATGGTGACGTCTGTCCTGTCAGGTATCTCGTTGCTATGGCGACGTGACGTCACGGTACGTGCAGGTATTTCGCTGGGTCGGCTGTTTCAGTTTGTCGTCTGACAGCCGAGAGGTTGAAAGCTCCGAGTGAGAGTCTTAAACAGAAGTGCTCTTCACGACTTAACCTTCTCTAAGGCTCAGCTTCTCGTGTCTTGCGAGATTTCTTATGTGCATTTCATCGGCGGACTTGAGGTAGGATCCTTAAAACGGTTTAGACGTAGTTTATTCTTCGGTCTTCTACTTATTACATAACCTTGAGGCGCTCAAGTATTTCTAAGAACGTAGCTGGATAGGAATTCCTTTAGTTGGTGAGGTTTTTTCATGTTCTAGTTCCATAAATAACGTTTTCAAGAAGGATAAATAAAGTAGCTGAACTTCTCCGTTCGCCAGGCGCGTTTCTAAAAGGTGTGACAGTTTTGTGTCCACTTTAAATGTAACTTTTCTCCCCAAAATGTGGCAAATGACAAGATAATTAATTTGAAATATTCTCCCAAGGGACCATGTAAGCCAGTATATGTAGCCATTGTACCTGTTTATGTTTTCAGTTGCAACATTTAAAACACGGGTTAAATCTGCGCATGTGGAGATCACAGTACTTAGTCTCTAATCTGACAGCTTCAAACAACACTTGAACTGTTACATGTACGCCGCTGGCCACTTTTAAACCGCGAGACCTACCCGTACCAACCACGGCTGGACACTCTGTGTTTGTCTGTTTATTGCTCCAATTTCTTGTGTTGGAAATAAGTTTAACTTTGCTTCATAAGATCTGTTCATTTGTTTGTTTGTTTGTTTATTTGTTTATCTATTGTTTATGACATAAACCAGGTAAACCAGTGAAAAAGATCCTGCTCTTTGCGTCCGACATCGGCCTGTTTGTTTATTCGTTTATTTTTTATGACGTTTTCGCAGGTAAACCGGCTACGAAGATTTGGCCCTTCGCTGCGTTTGTTTGCTTGTTTGTTTATGTATTATAACGTCTCCGCAGGTAAACCCGTGACGATGATCCGCCCGTTTGCGTCGGACATCGCTCCGTTTGTTTGTTTGTTTGTTTATTTATTTATTATGACGTTTCCACAGGTAAACCAGTGACGAAGATCCGCCCGTTCGCGTCCGACATCTCTCCGTATATTTGTTTGTTTGTTTGTTTGTTTATTTGTTTATTATAACGTCTCCGCAGGTAAACCCGTGACTAAGATCCGGCCGTTCGCGTCGGACATCGCTCCGTTTGTTTGTTTGTTTGTTTGTTTGTTTGTTTATTGTTTACGACATTTTTCAGGTAAACCCGTGACGAAGATACGCCCCTTTGCGTCGGACATCGCGCCGCACACCTTGACGCTGACGTGGCACCCACCTGAGGACGACGGCGGCTCTTTGATCACGTCTTACGCCGTGGAGATGTTTGACGTGTCGGACGGAAAGTGGCAGACGCTCACCACAACCTGCCGCAGACCGCCGTACCCGGTCAAGGTACGGAGGCTGATATTTATCTATCTTATTCGCATATACTTACTGTGGAGTAGACAAAAATAATAACATTTACATACTTAACTAGATTCTCTCCTTACACATACAAATAGAAGTAACGTCAACCAAAGCAAGACACTAGTAGTAACAATGATTAAGACACAAGAAAGAATTACATAACGAGGAATGCGCATTTTAGTACATAATAACTGTTTGATTATATGACTCTTCTCCAATTTTTTCCCAAGTATTTGGTGGTCTTTGCTAGTCTGTGAAACTTTGTCTTACTACAATGTCTGAAAGAGGAAAATTTTACTTCAAGCTTCAAGTGACACTTTTTATGCCCTGTTACGGTACGTACGGAGGCCCTAATGTCTACCTTCCTCACGCTCTCTCTACAGAAGTTTTATGTTTACCGAAAGAAAACATGTTGTTTTTACTCTGTTTCCTCCTCTTCTTCCTCTTCTCCAAACTAATAAGGTCAATGACCTGGACCAGACGTCTGTCACCGTGGTAACTAGTACATCATGTTGTAATTTTATAGCAGGAGGGATTTAGACTCCTGTCACCCTACATATAAATGTGTTTGAGTAAGAATTAACAGGGTAGACCACATGAGAAGTCGCTGCACTTAGCTGTAGTTCTAAGACCTTAGGAAACCTTTGTACTTTAGTTGTGTCAATAAAAATTGTTTTATTACCTGTAGGGCCTGAACCCTTCTGCCACGTACCGGTTCCGTATCCGTGCTGAGAACGCGTACGGCGTGAGCGAGGCCGGGCCGCTCTCGGACCCCATCCTCACCAAGGAGCCTGAGCAAGGTGAGCGCGTCTAACAACTTCTATATGTTGTTCAATGTTGTCCTTATTCTTATTCTTGAGAAGATACTGTGCAGCACCAATCTGTTGGGGTGAGATGCACTGGGGGGAGTGCGCTGCGCCCTTATTGACTCCCCAAGTGTAGTAGTACGGCTTCCTTGAACTTGTCGATGTCAGGCTCTGCGATTTTTGTTAAGACTGATGGAAATAGAAATATCTGCAGCAATCTTTGTGGAATTGATGTTCTTGTATCTGCGATTGTTCTGCCTGTGACAGTTTGTTGGTTTTCATTTATATTCATTAAATATATACGGCACATGGCGCATATCCAGAAATGTGATGTTTAAAATGTCTATAACAGGACTCCTCCTAAATCGTACCTATGTATACTACCGGCTGCATGTATAAACTAAGTTAGCGCATTGACTCCAGAAAGTGCTATAGCAACAAGTAGCCTGTAGGGGACTCAAGGTTATACTTTTATGTTGCCCTATGTTGTTTGTCGTACACTCAATTGTATAGTTTGTATAAGTGACTGTTAAATGACGTCATATGATTGGCAGGATAAAATTTAAAGTTGCCCCTTGACCTGATATTTCCCGACAGCCCGTAAGTGCCACCAGTATCAGTGATTAGCAGGTTGTTTTAAGTACAGCGCGATAGCACGACCTGAGCTGACAGTGTTTTTATTCTGGTACGGTTTGGGGCCTCATTTATTTAGTATTATGGTTTACGTCCATGGTATTTCTGCGAATGTCGAGCTGGAATGAATTATAAAAGTCCCTGCCGAAACCTTATGAGTTCCTTGCCTGTTTTAAGTATAGCGCGATAGCACGACCCGATCTGCGGTTGTCTTTATTCTGTACGGGTTTGGGCCTTCTGGATTTATTGTTAAGGTTTGCATCAATGGTATTTTTGTGAATGTACCGATGCAGTGAGTCCCTGCCTAAAGGTTTACGATTCGGAGCGGGTTGTTTTAAGTACAGCGCGATAGCACGACCCGAGCTGACAGTGTTTTTATTCTGGTACGGGTTTGGGCCTTCTGGATTCATTCTTATGGTTTACGTCCGTGGTATTTCTGGTGAGTTTTGAAAATTTCCCTGCCTAAAGCTTACTTGTAAGTTCCACGCAATGTCTCGAAAACTTGCCGCTTTTCTTTGATTTTTAACAATTTGCAATTTGTTTCACAGCTTTTCAGATAAACTTTGTTTTGTTATTCTTATCAAAGAGGTTTTAGCTGTGTGTGGCAGTCTTAGGGTCCTATTTCCCTGCAGAATTATGAAAGTTGACGAGAAACCAGTAATGTTTCCCTACCGCCCACCCTAAGAAGATGAGAAGGAGAGGCAAATTTGCAAAATTGTATATAATTATGTATTGTTTTCTTGTTTCTATGTGGAAGTCTATGGGTATCCAGCTGAATTATAAGACTTGACGTGAAACCAGTAATGTTTCCCTACCGCCCAGCCTAAGAAGTTAAAAGCCAGCGGAGAATTTGTTTGCACCCGGCTAGTTTAGATGAGAAGTGTTGGCTGTCGCCGTGAGACTACACAGACTCGGCGCTATCGCCCGTGCCAAGCGGGGCGCTTGTCTTTTTCTCTGTACTCTCCAAGCAGAGTTGTAAGCTTTGGGTTAGCCTCCATAGCATGCCAAAACTGGTGGTTTTTTTTTTGGGGGGGGGGCTTCGTGGTCTTTGGGATCTTTTATGTGCTATTTTCTGATTGCATGTAGACAGCATAGCCGGCCTGGTTGAATTAACTCCGTTTTTAGAACTGGGCTAATCAGAAAACAGCCGAAGACCACCAAATCCCCAGTTCTATAAGCCTGCTACGGAGGCTAGCTTTGGGCATTGTATACAGAACTGCACAGTGGCTATCCAGTTCTGTACAAACAGAGGGTTAGGGCTCAGATATTATGTCCAGTTAACGTTTGCACCCGGCTAGTTTAGATGGGAAGTTTTGGCTGTCGGTGTGAGACTAGTCTACACAGACTCGCGCGCTATCGGGGGGACCGCTTGTGCCAATCGGAGGACACTTTACTTTCTTTTTCTGTACTCTCCAAGCAGAGGTTTATACTTCGTGTCTATCTAGCTCTATGCATGAATGGGTTAGGGTTAGGATCAGGCACGGTTCTGGATAGTCTCCGCGTATCCAAGAACGCAGTTTTGCCCCAGGCACGGTTCTGGATACGCGTGGACTCTGACCATGGCTACAACATCGGCTGATGTCTTTTTTTTCTCCAGCCAAACAGCCAGCCAATTGGGTACTGCCAGCCGTTTTGTAGCCACCAATTCACCAAATGATCTGCTTGTAGATTTGGTCATTTCAGTAAATGAAATCCATAAATGATGCCGAAAAGCTGCCCTTAGCCCATGTAGCACAGCGACATACCGTATTCTTGAACAAGACATTTTGGCACAGAAACGTGGCTCAGGGCGTCAAGAAAACATTCTTCGAGATCCACGATGCAGAGAAACGTCCTAAGGGTTAGAAAGGGAAAGTTGAACAGCCTGACAAGGTTACGCAACAGGTCAAGAAATAGCTCCCGGCTGAAGTACAGGATTTAAAGATCAGGCTCTGTTGAACTGAATCAGACTCAAAGTAGAAAGTTGGAAGCAAACTTCAGAAAGAACGTTTAGAAAGCTGAAAGTTGCTGACCTCCAAGTTATACACGAAGACTGAAAATAGCTGCCAGCAAATGTACAGGATTTAAAGATGTAAAGAATCCGTCTGAAGTGAATTGTACATTAGGCTTAGTTTCTAGGCTTAACATTTCCTGGCTTGGTTCACAGTCTCACATTGTCGGCTTTCATTTTTGTACCGCTATATCTTTCATTTCGCCAGTCAACCGGTACCGTATTGGTTACATCACTGCAAATTTGATACTTTCTTGCCAATTCGATATTGTAAATCGTTCTTGAACTTCCCCTAGACTGCTGAACCCGCAGTCATTCCATTCCCCGCCATAAAACGTATTCTATTTTATAAACTTAAACAAAGCTGTTTTATAATGAAAATTAAACTGTTCTCCAACACACATTCTGTTGTAAACCGTCCTTAGACTTTACCTAGATGGGGTTAGCCCTCAGGCATCCCTTTCCCCGTATTGGTCGCGATGTCAGGTATTTATTCGGCCCTGAGAGGAGCCTAATGATCTGGCAGCGCTGCCAAGTTCACGGTTCACCTTGTGTTGGGGTGATCCCTGTACGGACTGGAATGTCGTGTCATCAATCATGTGGAGCATGGTAGTTTCCCAAATATGCAAATTAGCAAAACGTATGCAAATGCCAATCATCTACACAAAACTATCGCCAAGTTCACGGTTCACCTTGTGTTGGGGTGATCCCTGTACGGGCCGGAATGTCAGGCGATAAATCACTGGGAGCACGGTATGTTCCCAAATATGCAAATCACCAATCATGTGGAGCATGGTATTTTCCCAAATATGCAAATCATCAATCATGTGGAGCATGGTATTTTCCCAAATATGCAAATTAGCAAAACGTATGGAAATGCCAATCATCTACACAAAACTATCGCCAAGTTCACGGTTCACCTTATGTTGGGGTGATCCCTGTACGGACTGGAATGTCTTGAGCCCCGGCAAACTACTAAAAGAATGCCTTTAAGGCTTTAGAAAACTTCTGTACTAAAGTTTCTGTCACTTCTTGATTTTCTGAAGCTCTGTCTAGCAAGTAAGGCACACGTGTGGGGAAGCGTGATAGTCTATGAAAGTTGTCCTCATTTCTGTAATCTTATCAAAACGTGTCCGACTGACAGTCAACATCAGACTCTTCAAATCTGAGACGGACACTCATCAGACCCCGTAGCAGACAGTCTGACATGTTTCTACTAAAGATCCGTCCCGTGCAAATTCCAGAATAGAACGGAGTAATGTGTGATTCTTACTTCTTTTTAGTGACGCAGAAGAAGAGTGGCAAAAACGCCTCGAAGAAATCTCCGTAGTCCGTAATTTATCCAGTAGCAGAGCTTGATTTTTCTTTTAATATCAGATATTTAACATTCATCAACGTACCTTGCACAGTTTATATGTAAAGACAGTCGTATGACGTTTCTAAGATAGCACAGGCTGCCTAGAAAAATGTTGAGACTGCAAGGCCCAACTGTCTTCCTTGTCCTTGCCGTTAAGATTTGTAAAAAAAAGGTATTGCCTGCGTATTGCCTGCAAGTAAGCCAGAAAATGTTGAGAAGGGGGTGTTTTAACCCCACAGTCCCGTGACCTCTCCATGACCTTACGGCAGTTTAAGAAGTGACTATGAGGTTCCGTTTGACTTCCTTCTGACAACATCTTAGACAAACAAACTTCAGCGGCCTTGTCACTTTTCTTCTTCTTGTTCTTGCTTTTTTTTTCCAACACTTCTGCAGAACGCACTTCGCCTGTGCAAAGCTCACGATCAGCATAGCATAGTGTGACCCCCATGAGAGCCTCAGACCTGTATGTTGTACGTGTAACCCTCATGAGATCCCCATTCCTTGTGAGTGCAGTATGCTCTGACAGAGAGCAGTATGCTCCTGAGCGCGATCAAACATTGGGGACCCCCCATAAGAGCCTCAGAGCGGTATGATGTACCTGTAACCCCCATGAGAGCCCGGGGCCTGTACAATGTGTATGCTTGTGTGCAGGGTTCTGTGATCCTGACAGAGAGAACAATATTTATCCTCAGCCCGATCAAACATCCAGTCAGAAGGGACCCCGGGATGAACCTGTACGGTACACACCGGGCTGAGGCTCACGCGGGGGTTTGGGGGATCCGTCCCTAGGTCATTATTGCACATGTAGGTATAATTTGGTTAAAGCTTCTAAAACAATTTCACACATACTCGACATGTAAAAGTTGCAGACTCAAGTAGACCGCTTAGTTGTACTTCTAATCCGAAGAAGCGTTCTCCCGGTAACCCCCATGTTGGCCCCCCGCCAGGTCGGAACGACCGATCTTCGGACGGCGGAAAAAAGACGGACTCGACCAGCGGCTCCGACTCGGTAGGTAAGACACAAACCCTTCCTTCCGCTCCTCAAGGCGCCTTCAAGACGTCTTGGCTCGGGTAAAGCTTCCTTGAGACGCCTTGGCTTGGCTGGAGCTTCCTTGAGACGCCTTGGCTTGGCTCAAACTTCCTTCAGACGCCTTGGCTTTGCTGAAGCTTTCTTAAGACGGTGCCCGACTCGCGTGTGCGTCCTACTCGCGTCTTTGAGATTAAGGAGTCGCCTCAAGGCGCCTTGGCTTCGTGGTAAGACATTGAGCTTGAAGTCTTGGCTTGGCTGAAGCTTTCTTAAGACGATACCCAACTCGCGTGTGCGTCTCAAACATTAAGGAATCGCCTCAAGGCGCCTTGGCTTCGCGGTAAGACATTGAGCTTGTTTGGCTTTAAGCTGGATTTAATGTTGAACTTCTGGCGTCTGGCTTGGCTTCTGTGCTGCAGTATACAACGTTATAACCTGTCTGTAGTGTAGTGTAGTGTAGTGTAGTGTAGTTTACAACTATATCGTACCCAGAACCGTGTCTATCTAGTTCTGTGCCTGAATGGGTTAGGATAGGATCAGGCACGGTTCTGGGTAGTCTCCGCGTATCCAATTGAAACGGAGATTTCCCCAGGCACGGTTCTGGATAAGCGTAGGCTGTCCAGAACCGTACCTGGGTATGCTTCTGGATAAATTACGGTTCTGGAAACAATAATAACTGAGGTCAAAATTTTCACAATAGGCAGGTGGCCGCTATAAACATAATAGATATAGGTTAATAGGAAAATTATGTGGCCACATTATCCATATGACCTTTATGTAGAGGTGGTCAATAGTACAGGTTTGACTGTATATTATTGTAAGACTAAGAGTCTTGGCTTCTGGCGTGTGTAGTAGGCCCCCTAGCCTGGCTTTGCTGTGGTCTGTGCAGTTTGGTTACCTCCAAGCTGACAGCAGCGCAAATATTACCATGTGTTGTGTTGAAGCGTGGTGCACACATTTTAGGGGTCTCCAAGTTTGCCAATGACAATTTTGTGTTCTCCTCTTATATAGATAGGTTTCATGCATGCTTACTAAGTTTCATACAAACTTTATTTTCCAGCGCTTTTAAAAGATGTCATGCTTTTATGAGTAGTTTTTTTTTTTGCAATCTTAGGAGTCTATTGTTACTGACGATTTGAACTACGATGTAGCTGATTATAACTATGTTTCTTTATAAATGGTAAAAGAAGTTAAGACTATCTGAAAAGTGTAGTCTTTAATCACACATGCTTTCCGTTTTCAGACAGATTTTTAGTACTTTTTTTTGCAATCTACGATGTTACTGTTTGAACTGTGGATTAGCTGATTGTAACTTTGTTTATATATAACGTTACATACATCTGTAAAAGTAGTTGAGAAAATTGTAGTCTTGAATCATACATGTTGAGAAGAAGTACATGTTACAAAGAGGTGAGTTGAACTGGACCGCCCCTGTGACCGTTATGTCTGAATATTTGTCTTCAAGTCGGCTGAACTGGCACCGGTGCCTCCAAACTGTCAACGCGAAGACCGAGGTACAAAGGGCGTCAGGGCAGAATAGGAACACTGGTGGTGCGATTTCTGTCATATCACATGTTTCTTTTGTCTTTTTACCATTCATTCATTCACTCCTTTTTTCTTTAATTTGCCCCCCGCTCTGCTAAACAGTGCCAAAACACGTCAGAACGGTGGTCGTGTGATGTAACGGCAGAGCATTCGGGTCAGAACCAAGAGGTCCTTGGTTCGAATCCTCCCAAGTCACCGACCTTGTGCCCTTGCGAAAGGCACTTTACACGACTTTCTTCACTTCGGTCAGGTGAAAATGAGTATGCCAGAATGATCATTATCATGATCGTGGGCACTAAAGGAAAACCAACGGTTCTACTATGGACATGTGTCCTACAAAACTGGGACTCCAACTCCAAGACGGTTGCTTGAACCTTTCTCGTGGTTAATGTCGGCTCAAAGACTTTAGATACCGGCGTGTCTCCGACTTAAAGGAAAGACAGGAAAGACCTGCTATTTTTCCTTCGTTACCTCAAGTCACTTGCCCTTTCACCAGCATTTCAAGAACGCTGTTTGGGGCGTCTGTAGTGAAAGTAATAGGCTCTGTAGGGGGATACGTGATCGCTGATTATGTATGTTTCACTGTGGACACAACACGGAGTATTGTTGGGGCAGCATTGGACAGGAGGATGCCGCAACTCGGCCGTTTGTTGTAAAATCACACGGGCGTCTGTTGCCGCAACACGGCCCGGCTGTTGTAAATCTGCGGCAGGTTTGTTGTGAAAACGTTACTGTAAGCGCACCTGTGCGTGGCGCTTTGTTTAGAAGGAGCGAGCCTCCATGGAACGTTACGAACAGGGATCGAGGAAGACACAGAGACGTTCTGCCAAAGTGCTATGCACAGCACACTACTAGTTTATCTGTATCTGTATAGCCGGTATAACCGCCTTTCGGCGTAACACACCAGCTTCGCAGGCACGCGGCGCGGCGGCAGCTGGCTATATTACACCGATCGACTTGTTACACCTAGCCCTTGAACTTCTAGCTCTAGACATTGTTTATAGCTATCTATTGACAATGCCCCTACTGTACTTGGTGACAGTGAGTTCCACTCTGAGATAGTTCTAGGAAAGAATGAATTATTGAACACCTCAATCCTTGGTTGATAACTCTGGTACTTGAAGGCTTGGCTATTTCTTGTTCTCTTCTGGGCTGGTATTAGGTACTTAGTTTCGCTCAGGCACAGTGCTTTTTCACCTTTGTCATTGTTTGGTGTGCATGCATGTGAGGGGGCAGCCAAATACTGAGTACTAGTATAAAGAAGAAATCACAAGGCTTCAAACTAGGCACATTGGGCTTAGTTGTTGCGACAAGCATTAAGCCCTAGTATTTGGGTATTGCGTGGGTGCAGGCGTCACTTCCTGCCAACTTGACCTTATATCAATCTGCCGTAACCAAATACCCCTCCATCCTGCCACTCTACTTCATTCAAATACACAAGCAATCACACCCAAAACAAGGCGGGGCTTTAGTAGATGAGGACTAAATAATAAACTATTTTGTCTTGAAAGTGTAATTTATAGTTCGTGCCTGAGAAAAACTAATCAGAGAATGTGATCCTGAAATGTGAGTGATTTCTCGTCAAGGTGAACCGTTGAAGGACACCCACTAAGACGCCAGTTTATCCTAACTTGTCCTCACATGCGCACCAAACAATGACAAAGGTGAAAAAGTAAACTATATGCTGTGTCTAGCATTTTGGCAGAACGTCTCTTTTCAGGTTTTCGCGTACGTAAGGATGACGTCCCGTCCCATTAAACGTTGAGTCGGAAAAGATATCGCCTGCAACGGGCATCCAACAAAAACCGTGAAAACTTCTACTCTCCAAGCAGAGGTTTGGGGTTATTTTTGGCTTATTTCTAGGCTTTTCTTTTCAGGGTTTCTTTTTTTTTGCACTGGAATTTTTTTTATCCAACCCTTAAAGAAAATAGGAAAATAGAAACCCTGATAAAAGCTAGCCTGGTATCCAGCCTTGTTAGCTTTATAGTCCGCTACCCAAGATCCCCTGACAACTTGGCGGGGAGCGGATCTTGGGTAGCGGACTAAAGCTATAAACAAGGCTGGATACCAGGCTAGATAAAAGCCCAAAACACCCCAAAAATAACCCCAAAACCTCTGCTTGGAGAGTAGAAAAATCCGGGTTTCGCACCGTCCCCGGTACACACAGAGCCGATACGGGCCCATTTGTTTCCGCAAGAATCGTGTAAACACACGTGAAGTTGTCAGACCTTCGAATTTACCCTGGGAATTCCGTGGCCTTATATGGCCCAGTTTGGCGCGTCCCGTCCGTCTGTGCTGACGTCATGACAGGTTTCCCGCCAAATCAGACGACAGAAACACGCCACAGCATCGGATGCAAAATCGCGATTAAATTTTAAAGACAACGAAACACACAATAGAATCCGTAAAAGAAAATTCGTAGATGACCACATATGTTCTTTGGAAATTTCACATTTTTAGTAAGGATCCGTATCTAGTTTATCTAATACCTTTGTTTTGGCAGGAAAACAATGAACCCTTGATTTCATAATTATTGCAAATAATATGCAAGATCCAAAATGATGGTTAAAAGGAAACAAAACACACAGAGGTAAAAGCAACTTGGGAAAACTTCCCTTTTTGGTAGGAATCCGTCTGTGGTTTATCAAGTACGTGTTTTGGCATGAACACAATGGAGACAGTCAGTCAAGAAATCGGCGCCGCATTCTGTTCGTGTTATATTTAGACCGCCCCAAGGTGTAGGTCTTCTTCTGAAGATGTCTTGAGATTTTGAGTATCGAGAAGTCGAGCCAAGACGACACTTTTTAGATTTATTAGACCTCAGATGCCGGAGTATGTAGAGGATGCACGATTAGCGTGTATATCTAGTCTCTACCAGACTAACTACGCTGGCTATATATAGGAGAATATTTGCCAGGGGAGTTTGGCCGCCTTGTAGGTTTGACAGGCCGCACAGGGAACTTGAGAAACTACCTCCCCGCGGCCGGACTCCCTTGGCCCATTTTACTGTCTTTTGCCGAATTCTACGATCCGTATTCCCGTAGAAAGGCCTGGTGGAGGCTAGGTATATCGGTGATTGTGTACTCTGAGGAGGCCGTCCCGGCAATGCCACATTCTGATTTCTTTGCTGTATCAAGAATGCACTTCTTTTTCTTTTCCAACACTTCTTACCAAGACATGACGACTGTACGTAACGATGAGACACACCAATCGCCTTCACTGGTCTCTATCGCAAGGCTCGCACGGAACAACATTCCTGCCACGTCTGCACGGGATGTTTCCGCCGACCCACAGGGACGGTAGAGATCTGTACTGACGTCAGAAAACCCCCAAATGACCGTTTTACCCTGACGGGCCTGACAACTCTGACAGCGTGTTTGTGTCACAAGTCGTAACACTTTACTCCGGGATTAGACGTAATAGTCAACACTCCGGGGCAGTATCTACACTTCCGGTTTTTGTGTCTCGTGTTCTGGACATCCTCTGGCAATGATTTTTGGGTGGTAGATAACTCTTGGTTTCTGGAAGAAGTGATATAGGCTTGAATGCTCTGCGTTGGTGGCGGCATAAAAATAAGTTGAAAAAACTTGAGTGTGTCGTCGCCATGTCAACGCTGGAATAGAAAAAAACTACATGTATCTTACTCGAAATGTGACCCAAAAAATGTTGAAGAGATAAACTCACCATACATCACAAGACAGTGACGTAAAAACGCAGAATAGGCCACAAAAGGCCAACAAAACATGCCCTACTACGTATCTGTTTGGAGGCTGTACTTTGTTTGTGTGCCCGGGACTCTGGTGACCTATACCGGCTGCCCGTGTTTAACCAGTGTTAAGTGGTTCAGTTGTGACCTTCACGTCTCGACAAATGTCTTTAAGACGTGATACATAAATCACGTCTCGCCTCCTGACTAAGAAAGAGCCCACCGCTTCTGATCGTGTCTTTAAGAAAGGGCTGCCTTTCTTTAAGAAAAGGCTGTCGCCTGTTAATTTTTTCTCACCGCTGCTTTTGTGATTCCTCAATTTCACTCTCCCTCTTTTTTGTGGCCCGAAAAGGACAGGAGGGTTTGTTTGATTTACCTTTTCTCTGTTCCCGGCGTTTGGGCAAATTTGTTCTCGAAGTTCGAAGAGAAAGCCCGAGTCTTTGTAAGGCTGAGATCACATTTCCAAACCGGGGCCCTGGGCTGTTTCCGTGAGCAAAAATTACACAATTCATATGAAAAGTATACCCAAAACGTTTCAAGTCTAGGGTGGACAAACATCTGTCTCTACATGTATACAGTTCCTTAATGTAACCTAAAACATGTAAGTGGTTCGTATGAACGTTGTTTTGAGGCGAAAATTGAACTAGTAAATAAAAAAAAATCTATGGTGCTCATGGTAAATTTTCTTTGTTTTGTTGTCTTGTAATTAATTGCATATGATACTTTGCGTTCTCACAACTCGCCCAGCCGGACGATAGCTGGGATCGTAACCTTAGCAACGTTTGACTGACGTGTGTGTCGGACGACTTTTACCTCAGAATTACCTTCTACATTTCCTGTAACACAAGAACACACAAATGGAGCCAAGGCATTTCGAAATGTCAGATGATGTCAGCGATTTAAGATAAAAAGATACCGAAACAGCATTTTCTACACGACTTGCGAAATTGCGACCCTCCTGCAAGAATGCGAAGCACGAAATGTCGGAATTTGACATACAAATCATAAGCCATATTCCACATACAGACTCCCCCTCCCCACACAGATGCCTACAGCCACTGTTCACATACAACGTTCCTTCCTTTAACGTAGTCTCCACCAGACTTCTTTTGCGGGGTGAATAAATCGTAGAAATCGGCCTAAAAAGGGTATTAATTGGCCAGAGAAGGTAGCCGGCCAGAGAAGCTCCATTGCCCC